GGTCGCTCGAGCGACCAGACACAGAGAAACTACGCTCGAGCCAAGGAAGCCTTGCTCGAGCCAACAACCCAAAAGCTCGCTCGAGCGAAAGAAACTCGATCGAGCGAAGAACTCAAACCCTCAGGTCTGAACCAGACCACGCTCGAGCGAAGGAACTATGCTCGAGCGAAGAACGAACTAACTCGCTCGAGCGAAGAAAAGCTCGCTCGAGCCAAAATGCAAAGCTACAGGTCCAACAGACGCAAACTCTCGCTCGAGCTACCAACCCGGCTCGAGCGAGACAAAACAACATCTCGCTCGAGCGACAAACTCCTCGCTCGAGCGAAAACCAAAATCTGGACAGCAACACTTGGTTTCTAAACCCAACCAACCTGAAACAAACCTGCCCAACACATCTATAATTCCAAAGAGAAAATAAGGACAACAACAACATTATACATGACAAAATCTACGGAACATTCCGATACAATAATCAAATGGGAAAAGACCGGGGTCGCTATAACCTCCCCCCTTAAAAGAATTTCGTCCCCGAAATTGCAAATTTTGAAAACAGTTTTTCTCAATTCCAAGATATATATAATAACAATAATAAACAACTTGACCCAATACTGGTCACTTCATCTCTTTATCAAGAGGCATCTCAACATATATAATAAAACAACATATATTCAACCTGTATCATTATTATCATTATTCCTTTCAATGTTAACAATTCCATATCATATTCAATGCATGATATATACAACCCATTCACAATGTAATCAACAAATGCAATGTTACACTAAACTTCTATAATGAAGCAAGTTTCAAGATACACCCATTTACCAACAAACTCTAATGTTTTACAACTTAAGAATATGTAAGCTCTTAAGTTCAACAATAAACAAAATCTAATTAAAGATTACAAATCATAAACATGTCCGGTATTTTCGCGGACTTCCATTCACGTTCCAAGTGGCTTCCTCACTCCGTGATGTTTCCACAAAACTTTACCAAAGGGATGGTCTTGCCTCGCAAAACTGATCCCGCCTATCCAAACCCGAACGGTCTCTCCTCATAGAGACATTCATCAACCACTAAATCGGTCCAATCCAACACATGTGATGGATCCGGCTCATACTTCCGAAGCATACTCACATGAAACACGTCATGTACTCCGGACAACTGCGGCGGCAAGCTAAACGATAAGCAGCCTCGCCAATCCTCTCAAGGATTCAAACGGACCAATGAACCGAGGGACAACTTCCCACTCTTCCCAAACCTCTAAACCCCGTCTAGGTGATATCTTCTAGAAAGACATGATCACCCACCTCAAACACCAAAGTCTCCTCCTAGGTCGGCATACGATTTCTGACGACTCTGTGCTGTAACAAGCCTCTTACGGATAAGCTCAACTTTTCCGTCGTTTCCCTCACCAACTCTGGACCCAACAGAGGTGCATCACCCACCTCGGCCCAACAACAGGAGATCTACACGGTCGGCCATACAAGGCCTCAAATGGTGCCATACCGATACTAGACTGGAAACTGTTGTTGTAGGCAAACTCCACCAACGGCAAGTGCCTCTCCACGACCCACTAAAGTCTAGAACACAACCCCGAAGCATATCCTCAAGATCTGAATAGTACGCTCGGACTGTCCGTCAGTCTGAGGATGATAAGCCGTGCTAAAGGTCAACTTAGTGCCTAAGGCACTCTGCAAACTCTGCCACAACCTGGCAGTAAAACGAGGATCTCTATCTGAGACGATCGTCACTGGAACCCCGTGAACCTCACTATGTCCCGAATTACAAGTCGGCAAGATGATCTACCGAATCTCTCACGCGCATAGGAATAAGTGCGCCGACTTAGTCAACCGGTCTACAACCACCCAAATAGCATCACTACCCCGCTGAGTCCTCGGAAGACCCACAACGAAGTCCATAGTGACGTGTTCCCACTTCCACTCGGCAATAGGCAAGGGTTGCAACAAACCCGCTGGCCTCTGATGTTCGGCCTTCACTTGCTGCAAGTAAGGCACTTAGATACGAAAGCTGCCACATCTCTCTTCATACCCCGCCACCAAAACTGGCGACCCAAATCCGATACATCTTAGTGCCTCCCGGATGCACCGCAAGGCGTGAATGATGAAACTCTCGGAGTACCTCCTCTCGGCAAGACTCCGGCACAAACAGACGGTCGCGTTGTCTGTTTTCGATGTCGAATTCACCGGCTCTTTGGTGTAACAAGTTCTTGTGCTCTCTAGTTACAAGAAATGCGATTCAAAAATATTTACTAAGATAAAGACTAATCAATTTACAACAAACACGTTATAAATACGTTTGAAGGATTCATACTCTACGTGTTTATCCACTTCTGTGCTGTTGTGTAGGACAAACCAATGAGCCAACTCGCGTTCAGCTATGGACACATCGGACGCCCTTGTCATTAGACCAAAGGGACGTACAGTTTGAGTGAATACTGCCAACCCTAGGCCACGGTCACCCATGTCATAATTCCTTTCTGGGCGGTTAAACAATGTTTCAACACCATCCAAATACATTGAACAAAACGTTGTACATTCTTTGGAAATGTAAGCCTCGGCAATAGAACCTTCAGGATGAGCTTTGTTGGCCACAAACCCTTTTAGACGGCCAAGCAACCTAATTTTGCAAGCCGATGTCAATGTTATACTGCAATATTTATATCAGCAGTAAAGCATTAACTTAAATTTGACAGTAATACGAGGGCTGAGTTAATACCTCTCAATTGAGTACATCCATCGATATTGCACTGGCCCTCCAAGCATAGCCTCTCGAGGCAAGTGAATTGCCAAGTGGACCATGACATCGAAAAAAGCCGGCGGGAAAAGTATCTCAAGCTTACAAAGTATGAGTACGATTTGTTCATCCAATTTATGCAAATCTGAACGCCTCAATGTCTTTGAACACAATTGTTTGAAGAAATTTCCCAACTCAAAAAGTGTCGTTCCAATTTCCTTATTCAGGTAGCCACGCATCCCAATTGGAAGAACTCGTTGTATAAGGACATGACTGTCATGACTTTTGAGGCCAGATAATTTTCCAGCTTGAGCGTTTACGCAATTGGAGATATTTGCTGCATAGCCATCAGGGTACTTTATTGATTTCAAGAAATCACAAAAGCCTTCTCTCTCTTTCACCGACAATGTGAACAATGCGGGAGGCTTCTCAAAGGACCCATTAGAACACCTCTTCAAATGTAACTCTTTACGTATTTTCATGTCCTCCAAATCTAAGCGTGTTTTGTCCGTGTCCTTGTTCTTTCCATCTACGCTCAAAAGTGTCCCAACGACATTGTCACATATGTTCTTCTCAATATGCATGACATCAAGGTTGTGTCAAAGCTTCAACGTCTTCCAATACGGCAAGTCAAACATAATGCTTCTCTTTCTCCAATTCAAATTTTGATGTTCATTCCTTTGTCGTTTTCGATTTTGTGGGTGTTTTCCATACGGCTTGTAAGTCCCAGAATCAATTTGCTCTAGTATTTGGTCCCCCGATAACTCCAAAGGTTTGGACCTGTGCTCCGTTTGACCATTGAAGAGCTTACTTGTTCGCCAAGTGTGGTTCTCAGGCAAGTGGCGACGAGCACCCACATACCCTATTTTACTTCGTAATCCCTGAGACGATGCATTAGTGTTACAATTAGGGCGAGCCAAGTAACCCTTTGTACTCCACCTTGACATGTTACCGTACGCAGGAAAGTCATTTATGGTCCACATTACCGCCGCATACATTCTAAAAATTTGCCCGTTCGATGCATCATATGTTTGCACACCATGCTCCCACAAATTCTTCAATTCTTCTATTAGTGGTTGCAAGTAAACATCAATGTCTCTTCCAGGAGCCGATCGTCCGGGAATAAGCAATGACATCATGCAATATGGCTCTTTCATGCACTTCCACGGTGGGAGATTGTAAGGCATTAAGATTACGGGCCACATGCTATATGATGTGCTCATATTCCCAAATGGATTGAAACCATCTGTTGCCAGCCCTAGCCTTACATTTCGACAGTCATCAGAAAACATCGGATGTTGCTTATCAAAATCCTTCCATGCTTCACCATCGGCCGGGTGCCTTAATATGTCATCATCCACACGCTTGTCATTGTGCCATCTCATATCTGCGGCTGTTTTTTTGGACATATACAGTCTTTTCAGCCTCGGTGTCAAAGGAAAGTACCGCAATACCTTGTGTGGAATCTTTTTACCACCATCATCGTTCAACTTGTATCTACACGCGTCACATGTAGGGCATTTCTCCAAATTAGCACTCTCCTTCCAAAATAGTGCACAATCATTCTTGCACGAATGAATTGTTTCATATCCCAACCCCAAGTCACGTAAGAATTTCTTAACATCATAGAGTGTCCATGGAACTGTTGGATCACATTCTGGTAGAATGTCCTTGAATACCTGCATAACCATATCGAATGACTTGTTGCTCCATTTGTTGTACACCTTCACATGAAGCATCTTAATGACGAATGATAACACAGAAAATTTTTCACATGTCGGGTGAACTTTGCGTTGTGCATCTTCGAATAACCTAGTGAACTTATGCAAATCCTCCCTCTCCAAACCATTAGGTTCCTCGTCGGTATGATCATCCATAAGACCACTCACATAAATTTCTTCCAACATAATAGGCAATTCATCCATGGGCGGATCATCGATATCTGTCATACATTCGCCACTACCTCCATATTGGTCATTTGATACACTAGGACGAGACACGGGAACATGTTCCCCGTGATGCACCCAAGTTAGCTACGAAGATGCCATGCCTCTTCGGATCAAGTGCATCCACACAACTTGTCTGCTATATGTTGTGCCATTAATGCAATCGACACACGGACACCTAATTTCATCCTCTACGCCTAAATTTGCCGTAGCAAAATCAATGAATGACTTCACGCCTTGTTGATACTCTTTACTTGTCAACCGATTATTTATCGTCATCCAACTCTTGTCCATTTTGTCACCTACAACTCACACAAACATTAACCGAGGATGCCATGAGAACATGCATTTCAAGTTGAGCCACTGTTTGGCTTGTCACATAAATCTCTTTTAGGGTGGAACTTTATGACACGATTAGTTCTAAAACAAGTTAATTTAAGAAATGACCCGTAATTTTGGACCACTAGATAGCATAACTAGTAGAGCACTAGTACTAGGGAAACTATATGGTCAATGATAGAATGATATATCATAATAATGAAAACCATGTCATGCTCTTCACAATGTGTGTGCATGACATGTTATTTATTAAAAAAAAAAGTAAAGACAGAAACACATTTCCAACAGTTGGCTCTACATGGCAACTGTGCATGTCCGCAAATGCATATTCACACATGAACATTTCAGAATAGAAGCATAGTAGATGTTATCAATGAGAGATGTATCTACAAAGTCATGTGAAAATCCAGAATAGAAGCATTGACAGTACTCATGAACATTTCATACGGCTTAAAGCACATTTTGCGGAAATGATAATAAATAAGCCAGACGATGTGGAGGCAAGTTTGCTGCAAGGTAGATTTTCTCTGATATGACATACTCTTGAAAAACTTGCTGCTATGAGCATGTAATTTTGTCTCATGGCAAGTTAGTTAAGCACTTAAATTAACTGAAATTCACAGCATTGCCATTTTCGAAAGCTCTTCATGTGGCCTATTCTAGAGAATTAACATATTGAGCCTCTTTAACAATTAGATATGACGAATGCGTTACTCTGTGAAGACTTAGACGAAGAAGTATTTACAGATGTTCCACCGGGCTTTGAGGATTTCTAATAGCACCTCCAACCAACGTAATCATGCTGATGACCATAATCGAACCACATGCTATATGAGAATGTTCACCAAAAATTGCATTAATAATATTGCTTTTGGGATCACATGCACATTTCTTGTGAATAGTCAATGCAATCTCTTACTTTCCACAATTTATCGTACAATGAGTTGAAAAGGAAAAGTGAAAAA